GCGTACGGGGCGGCTGGAGACGTCAATCTTCATCAGGGCGTAATTATGACAGGGCTAATGAGCGGGAGGCTAAAGCTACACTGTTTAGGAAGTGTGTCAGCCCAGAGACATTCAAGAAAGTCGATCTGTGTCTTGATGCAAATAGACGATGAAGCAAGCCCATATTTTGTTTCACAGTGCGGTGTTAAACCTTTCTATCTTCATGAGACCGAACCAGACCAAGTTACAGGTCAGATCTGTGGAGAGGCAACTCTGCTCTCAGTCAAAATACCTGTTTTTCTATGTGTTTTTAAGCTATAAAACCACCTGTAATTGAATAAATGTAAGGTAGAGCTGTTTAATGTCACACTATGGAACATTCTAGGCAGAGCAGTGACATATCCATAGAAACAAGCATCAGAAAAGTTACATAGTGCACCTTTAATGTTCTTTCTTAGTCAAAAACAGACCTGGAGTTGTGTTTTGTTTCATTCACACATGTTTAAAACGCAAATCCTGCGTATTTAGGCTGCGTTTTTTCTTTTCTTTCAAACTGAAAACTCTCTGGTCCACCTTGTGATGTCATGTGGTGATACAGGAAGTGCCGCATTGTGTTTTTAAATTCTATACACCTTCATTAGAATCATTTGGATCATTTTAGCTTCTTTTTTTTTTTTTTTTTTCTTTATTTGAGCATAGTAAAACAAAACAACACTAACAAACAAAACAAAACAAAACAAAAACAAGGATATGTACATCTACATATTTGGGACCTGGTGAAGGATGAAGTTTAAAAAAAGCTTAAAATGTCCTTTTCAGCTTCTTCAAAAGGACAAAGGTCACTATTATCTTGAATGCTACCGCTTCATGACATCACAAGGTGGAACAGGACTGTGCCCTATGTTCCCTCATTTCTAAGGTCTTTTTTTTTTTCTGAATAAAATTAGGCCCTATGTTCCCTTATTCCCTTTATCATCAATTTACATCAGATTTTATCCACATTTCTCCCAATTTGGTCGACAATTACACCCGATTATCCAGCAGCAGGATCCTAGGTTGAAATTACTCCGAATCATCCCTTTAAATGCGGCATAAAAATAAAAATGACTTGACTTAGAGTTTAATTTTGAGAAAAATCTTAGAAATAAGATAAATCTTGGAAATAAGAGAACATAGGGCTGACCCCGGTGCACCAGAGGATTTTCAGTTTTGAAAATGTAGACAGTCTAATTATAAAAGATTAGATTTAGACTTAGACTTTATTGATCCAAGGGGAATTATTGGGACACAGTAGCTCACACATCACAAAAAAATCTAAAAACAAATAAGATATAATGACATAAATGTTAGAAATGTAACGATATCCAAATCTCTCGGGACGATATTATCACAATATACATCTCACGGTACAATATTTACTGCGATATAATTGTAGATGGACACTTTTTTGCTTTTAAAATACCTTGACAAGATTTTGGTGTGAATTATTTCCGACATAATCCCAAGAATTCAAGTAAAAAACTTATCACTTCATGTTGTCTGAGCTGAAATGAATCATGGGATATGTAGTTCCCAATGTTTACAAGCTGTTGCTACTATAAAACCATACATTTAAGCAAAGCAATGTATAATCCGATATATTGTGACAGCCCATGGTATTATTGTGAGACTTTTGACGATAAGATATCACGATATTTTGGTTATTGTTACATAACTGTCAAATCCGTCCAGAAAAACGTTCCTAGTTCCTGGTAATGATCCTTTAATGTAGCAGTTTTCTAAAATAGGCATTTTCAACATTATATTTTCTAGTTTGGGGAGTGAAATCAGTTTGTATTAACATAAGTCATGGAAATTTTTGGTTAAAAATTAAAAAAAATAACATAACATCACAAAGATGGCCTATTAACACTCATAACACTGATTTAAAGTTGAGTTTGGTTGCATAGTTTTGACCAGATTGATGTAAATAAGGTGAACAACACTGGATGTCAGAACATTAATAAGACATAATGTTGTTTACAGTGCTATGGGGTGTACACTTTATTTTATTCAAATGAGATCAGCGAACATGCAAAAATCTGTAACGTGACCTTTGAACATAGACAATGACAAATATTGTTGAGAGAAACATCCGGAGGCTAACGAATAATCACGCTAAGGTCACGGAAAGGTCACGGCTTCCTCTGAGCTCAAAGCTTTGTGCTGCTGCTGCTGACGGTACGAGCTACATGCAAACTCAGGGGGTCTAATGCAGGGGCCGTGTGTGAGGGGTGTTACTTCAGTACAGTGGTAATAATGATGAAGTTTGCTCCGCTCTTCAATGTTTCTTATGGAGTAAATTGTCAGGAGCATTGAGTAACTATCGTGCATTTTTCAGATCGGAGGGTCTTGGTCAGGAGAACCTAGCTGCAGAATCAGCTCACCATACATGATGTTTTTTTGTTTTTTTTTGTTCTCTTAAAGGTTGTATAGAGGATTTTCCAAGGAACGAGAAATCCAGCGACTGTTTGTCCTTTTTCAAATGTTGCGCATGCGTGAAACCACCCCCCCTCCCCCCACAGCTCCTACGTAGAAACGCCTCCTCCCTCCTCCTCTTTACGCCAGAAACAGGTTTGTTTACAGCCGGTGCTGCACATGACTTGTAAACAACTAACTACAGTGTTGGTTAGGCAAGACGGAGAAGTGAGGAGCGGGGGGAGCGGGGGCGCGGAGATTCCGTGCCCGGAGAAGTGAGGAGCAGGGGGAAGAGCGGAACGGGCAGCGGGGACAGGAGCAGGAAAGGGGTGCAGAGAAGGTTGCGCGGAGATTCAGTGCGAATGAACTAGCTACAACACGCAGCAGCAAGCGGACTCTTTCTTTGCCTTGAAAATTACGTTTTCAGACATAGGATATCGCTTTCGTGTCCTGAAAAACGTTTGTCTAGCTCTTGGAAATAAAGTACGTTTTCATAATAAGCAGAAGTTTCCTGTCCAGGAGTAATTTGGCGACCAGTGCGTCAGTCTTTAGACCCTGCGTCTGCTTCAGTCGCGCCATCGCTGGAATGAATCTTCAAGAATCACCTTAGTTTGGCTTCGCTGCTTTTCCCCTTGTCTTCTTCTTTCAGCGACCTCAAAAACAGACTTTCTTTTGCGGCTAACTGCTCCTGGATTCTTGTCGCCATTGCAACAAACTTTGTGCGAACTGCGAGGAAGATATAGGTCAAAAAAAGCCGCTAAGAACTGTTGCGTTGGTGGAGTAAACAGCGTCTGTGCGTCTTGCGTCTGTGGACTGCGTGACAGGCGTACGTAAACCACGTACCGGCGGCGCGCAGGCAAGTCAGTTACGCTAGAAACGTAGGGAGATTGATTGACAGCCTGTCAGCTAACAGATAACGAGGCAGTGTCGTTATCTATTGGCAAATGTTTAGCCCCACCACGTCCAGAGTTGATGAATTTTTATTCTCTTTTTTTTTGGTCATCATAATTACAAGGCTACTGCATCTCTATAATGCTATCATTGACAACTTGAAACAAAAAAAATCCTCCATACAACCTTTAATATTATTCAAATGACACTAAGGAATAGACTCAATACCGATTCTAATACTCCAAGACGACAATAAAAAAACACCCTTAGAATATCATTTTCAACATTAAATCATAGTCCTTTCTTCTTCTTGCCAGGCTAGTGCCACCTACTGCCTTCACTCAGTTTCATTTCTCTCCAGTGACTAGGTCAGGAATCAGAATTGGAATCAGAATACACTAGACGCTTTGCCAATTCAGCGAAGAGCCGTACATTCTGTGTTGTCAATGATTCCCGAGATTTAAAGCTGGAATAAAGAGAATGTATGGTGAAGGGGAAAAACATTATTGCCCTTCTTCCTATGGGATTTGGGAAAGGCTTAATATACCAGTTAGCCCCGTTAGTGGTGCATAACATACATCACTACCAAATAGCAGCGATTGGTTAAATAAAAAAAGTACCCGCCTACTGTCGAGCGAACAAAATCTAATGCTGCGAGGTCAGACGGTTTCCTCGAAGAATCAGGCTAGTCTTATTCCCCTAAATAGTTTCATTTGGTCTTCAGATAATTTATGTTATTAGGAATTTGTTTTCATAGCTGACAGTTTCGATTGCTCACTGTTGCTATGACGTGTCCGGTCAGCTGATTTAAACAGGTTTTGGCGCTGTCTTCCTACCGGTGGAGGCAGGACAACAGCGCCAACTGCAGTCCGACTTCCTCAGGACAGTATCCCAGGTGTGTGCTGGATTAAAGAGGCAATCGAAATATGGAAACGTGCCCATTTGACTATCAATCAGGACGAGGGGGCTTTTTTTACTGTCACACACCTGGGATCGTGTCCTGAGGAAGTCGGACTGCAGATGGCGCTGTCATCCTGCCTCCACCGGTAGGAAGACAGCGCCAAGACCCGTATAAATCAGCTGACCGGACACGACACAGCAACATCACCACTCTGAGGAAGAAGTGAGCAACTGAAAAAAGAACCTAACATACATGTGGTTTTATATCTGTGTAATCCCTCAGTGGTCCAGGTAGGTTCCAGAGTAGACTTTGTGCTGTTATATTTGTTTTGATACAGCTCATTTCTGTCCTGTAACTGTGACGTTTTTAGTATCTTCACCTGCTCAAATGAGTGTCTAGTTTCGATACCAGTTTTTGTATCGATTAGTATCTGATTTTCGATACTTTTGACAACACTACCTCCAAATATTACTCATGTTGGTGTAGGATTTATTTTCCTTGTTCCTTATAATATTGAATGGAACTACTTTTGGGGCGTAATGATACAGTTGTGTGAGAAGGTCAAAAAAAAAACTGTCGAGTGGGCTGTTAATAAATAATAGATAATAAAAAATCTGGTGGTCTTAATTCACATCCACAACCTACTTGATTTTCCGTAACTCTTTGAAACAAGTGTTAAAGTAAAATCGCCGATGTTGTGTGTGTGTGTGTGTGTGTGTGTGTGGGTCCAAGTGTCCTGACAGATTCGCAATGAGGATGCTGTTGTTTGCAGGAGCAGTATGTCTTCATCCACGACGCCATCTTGGAGGCCTGTCTGTGTGGAGACACCACCATCCCGGCCAGTCAGCTCCGCTCTGTGTACTACGACATGAACCGCCTGGACCCTCAGACCAACTCCAGCCCCATCAAGGAGGAGTTCAGGGTAAGGAGGCTCGCAGGGACAAAACTCAGTGCAGTTCCTTTAGGGTTTACTGTACAAAGGTGATATAATTCATAATGATATTTGTCATGGGACAGATAATATCCTAAACACAACCTTCTAGCATCAGTTGATACCTTTTAAGTGATAGCTTGATAGCACTCTGTCACTCTACTTAGACCAGGGGTGTCAAACTCATTTTGGTCTGGGGGCCACATCCAACCAACTTTGATCCCAAAGGGGCTGGATCAGAAAACTCACGGCATATATACCCCAAAAATAGTAGTAAGTTCAAATATTTGTGCGGAGAAACACAAATCTATTACAGAAATCTTTTTTAATTGATGAACTCTTTCTTTTACAAAATATTATAATATTATGAACAACCTGAAACTTTAAGAAAAATGCAATTTCAACACAATGTTTTAACATGAACTTGTATGCAAATAGGAATAAGTAAATTTTTCTTGGAAAATCCTGCACTCGGCTCCACTTTTCTCATTTTTGACATTTTTTTGATGAGGGTGTCACGGTCAACAGTCAAAACGATCGTCCTTTAAGAGCGTTTGGAAAGAGACAAGTCTTCATTTGTGCTGCTCTGGTGGGAGGAGCCACGTACAGAGGCGCTGGAGACGCACCGCAGAAAATTACCAATATTTTAATAGAAAATATAATTAACATATTTTAGTAGAAAATCAGCCGAGGGCCAGATTAAAGGTCTTGGAGGGTCGGATCCAGCCCCCGGGCCACATGTTTGACACCCCTGAGTTAGACTCTAATCTTTGTTTTAACACAGTGTGACCATAAAGAACTGTTTTACCTGTAATTACAACAGGTGAGCTCTTAAACAATTTCCTCTCAGATTACATTAGTCACAGTCTTGGATTAAAAAGTTAAAAAATCAAACACCAAGCACAATCATGAGCGCTCGTATTATTCATAGTCTTTTGTTAATGTGTTGTTAAACCCATTTAGTATTTTATTTTTATATTAAAACTTAACCCGCTGTGTTTCCTAGTGTTTGTATTGTTCTCGTGCAGGGGTCTCCAACCTTTTTCCTCGGGTGAGCTGCCTTTACGAAACAAAAATTCCAGAGAGCTACTTATTTTAACAGTCAAAAGAAATAAAGTATAAGATTTAGATGAGGTACAGTTGGGTAAAACATAAACCATTGTTACGTTTGGACATTTTTTGTTTTCCCACCCGTTTTTTATTGTCTATATTTTTGTAGCATTTTTCCCTAGTTTTGTTTTTGACCTGGTGGGACCGGCTGTCCTGTTTTCGCTTTGCTCTTGGGTTTAGGTTGTTAAGTTGGGTTTTTTTCGTCTTTAGTTACGGGTGCTGGCACTACGGCCCTGTATAGTTTGGCCGGCTCGGGCACGGGTTTTATTTATTTATTTATTTATTTATTTGAGACAGGGACAGCACACAATTTTTACATTAACCTTGACAGGAGACATGCATTGTACCAGGTTGTACCATCAGTGGGTTAAGTGGTTAAGGGTTTTTTTGGGGGTTTCAAGACATCTACAACAACAACAAAAAAAAAAAAACAAAACTCTAATCTTTAATTTGGTTTCCGTGTCCTTCTTAAATATGTTGGGACTCATCTTTTTGGGTCGTAACATTATTTATTTATGAGTGCACAAAGTCAGACATCAAAATTATAGATTTACAATAATAATATGCATTTCATTCAGCAAATTTGAGTTATTCAGGACAATACGTGTAATTCAGAAATCCTTTGGCGAGCTACTTGAAAGAGGATTTTCAAATAAAGCTCAAATTAAAGTCTAACTTGAGTAACAGAGCTTCAGACAGAGTGGTGCCTCTATTCAGCAGGGAAAGTTGATGGCATCAGCGGCAAAGTATCAATAGTTAATGTAGCCTTGGTATCAGAAAGTATACTCAAAACTACCACACAAAATGCTCATTACAGATTTTAATTCTTTGTGCAGACCCTGAACATGGTGACTCCCACGTTGAGAGTGGAGGACTGCAGCATCGCCCTGTTGCCGAGGAACCATGAGAAGAACCGGTGCATGGACGTGCTTCCTCCAGACCGCTGCCTCCCCTTCCTCATCACCATCGACGGGGAGAGCTCCAACTACATCAACGCCGCGCTCATGGACGTAAGGCACCCACATTGTACTGTCAAAAAGTTTGGACACACTTTTTCATTCATGTTTTTACGTGTCTTCTTTATACATATTGTAGACTCTCAGTGAAAACTAGACAAAACTATGAATGAACATGTATGGAATGTAGTAAACAAAAAATAGCTGGTTTTATATTTTAAACCTATCCTTGCTTTGGTCACTGGTCACTTTAGTTCACTTATTATTTGTTTTCTTTACTACATTATTCCATAAATCTAGCTTCATATATTTGGTGTCTTCTGTATGTGCCTAAAATGTCGACAGTCGCAAACATTAAAAAAAAAAAAAAACATTGTAAAAGAAGGTGTGTCCAGACTTTTGACTAGTATTGTATTTAATAACAATAGCTTTATTTAGTTGAATAGTTATATAACAGGTTTACATTGTCTTATAAGTATTGCTTCATTAGGTGGGATAGTACCTGGGGTGAATATTTGTCATAGTTTTACACCCAGAAGAAAAGAAATGAAACTAGAGCTGAGTTATAAAAAAGTAATGCCTCTATGTGTGATTTTTGTTTTATAAGAGCTGCTCAGGAAATGGCATGAATAATTTCATAATTCTATGCAACAGTCAAGACACTTTTAGTTTATTCAGCTGTTGGTTTTATGGCTAAAAAATGACTTGCTGTCATTTAATGCCATACTGTGGAACCTTCTAGGCCAGACCTGGGCATTGTACAGCTTCCAGGTCATGTACAGCTTTTTGATTGACTCCGATCTGCCTGTTTAAGATAATTTGGAATTACAAAATAAACATATTTTATAATTTTACCTCATGCATGGACTAAAGCTGCATTGCGTTTATTTGATAGGTGTTTTTTAAATGACATTTTTTGTAAGGCAGCCCCACTTTTTCATTACTTAGTAGGGCTGGGTATCATTAAAAAGTTGCCAATACAATACATACCTCGATACATAGGCCACGGTACGATACATATCTCGATACAGTGCAGTTGCGATTTGATACGATATATTTTTAATCAATCTGATACGGTTTAATAAAAATAATGGTTAAATCATGTCTGTGATACTAAAAGTCTTTGTTAAATCACGTCTTGTGCAAAGTTCATTTGAAACACACACATTTTAATCATCAAAACAGTGAAAATGTCAAATGTGTCGCATGAATGAGTTTCTTTCCTCTAAACAAGCAACAAAACTGTAGTGCTGTAACAAAATAACTGAGTAAATTATACCAAAAAATACTCTTGGCAATATATCGATACAGCAGCCCATGATATCGATACTGTATCATCACATTAGGTGATACGATATATCGATATTTCAATATTTTTGCACACCTCTATTGCTTAGTCATAACCAGCTCTTTCCAGTCTTACCAGCTCGTCAAAACAATGTTATTTACTGCTTTTCATAAAGAAATACAATTAATATTATGCAGAATTGAGCCCTCAACAATATTTTCTGTTTCTCATGTGGCCCCATGGAAAACATAATTGCCCACCCCTGATCTAGAGAGAGCATTATCTCCATGGAGACTAGCAAGTGGCAGTCTTTCCACCTGAAAAGTTACATACTGCACCTTTATCCTGGGCTCAATCTTTCTTTAATCAAACGGCAAAGAGCTGAAGCGGTTGCCCAGGTTACCCAGGTCACCTTCGAGTGCGTCCGTCCATTCACACCTTGTAATATAATAAAAGCCGCTGTACCAGACCGGACCATGCCAGTCAAAGTTAGTCCAAGGGCTAAATCTGACCCTCGGCTGGCGACTCTCCCTCTACATGAATCATCCATTAGAGCAGAGCGCACAGGTTAAAGCGTACACATTTGCAGCGAATGTCATCTGGGCCTGTGATGCTATCTGTAGGCACCTCTCTGTCTGAAGCTCTGTTAGATTTTAATCTGATCTTTGTTTTACCTCAATCTGACCAGAAAGAACTGACTTCGCTGGAACTAAAGCGTGTGGGATGTAGGGACGTAAAAAAAAACAGAAATATCGTGATATCGTATCGTCAAAAGTCTCACAATAACATTGTGGGACTGTCACAATACATCGACTTACAAGTTCCTTTGCTTAAATACTTTTTTTTATAGTAGCAGTAGCTTATAAACATAGGGAACTACATATCCCATGATTCATTTCATCTCAGACAACATGAATTTATGTTTTTTACTTGAATTCTTAGGGTTATGACAGAAATAATTCACACCAAAATCTTGTCAATGTATTTTAAAAGCAAAAAAGTGTCCTATCTACAATTATATCAGCCTCTCCAAAATATCGCAATAAATATCGCTCCGTGAGATGCATATCGTGATAATATCGTACCGAGAGATTTGGATATTGTTACATCTCTAGTAAACACAACTCATATTGATCACAGACTCACAAAAATGTATTAATTATAAGATTAAATCCATCAGGTTTTCTTTTTTTTGGAGTTTTCAGACTTCTTAAAACTATTTCAACAGTGTTTGCTCATGTACGCACTGTCACCATGGTAACTACTGAACATTCCACCATAGAGATACATGTAGCGGCTCGCGACATCACTGCAACGTATTAATAGGGCTCATTTGGGGGAGTTCTTTTTAGGTGTGTCTGAATGTGATGTAAACGAAGCTCTGCACTCTTGTGTGTTTTCCAGAGTTATAAGCAGCCGTCGGCGTTCATCGTGACCCAACATCCTCTACCAAACACGGTCAAAGACTTCTGGAGACTGGTCCTGGACTACCACTGCACCTCCATAGTCATGCTCAATGATGTCGACCCAGCACAGGTAAAAACTACTGCATTTTAAACAGTCTTCAGCCCAAGATGGTTCTGAAGCTATTCAGCAAAGATTCATTTCTGACCCATGAATGTGACTTTTTTAGCGTCAATACTTGCTCAAGCGAGTGCTGTATTTTTTGGACTAAAAGGCATGCTTAAAATTCTTTAATTTTCTCAAAAATCAACAGTGCGCCTTATAATCCGGTGCGCCTTATGTGTTAATTTTGGTTGTGCTTACTGACTTTGAACCGATTTTATGTGGTACACAGCCCTCTAAAATCTATCAAAATGTACGACAAAAAGTACGACTTCAGTAACTACGAAGCCGTACCGCTTGATGGATTGTTGGAGCATTAGGGGTACTGTAGTCAGGAGCCTTGCAGAGTAAAGGGCAAAGTATAGTTCTGCTTTGAGTCAGTGCACACTGCCGCCGTCGCCTTGTCTCCATCATTTTTGATTTATGGATCTGCATTGAGGTCTATGTGCCGCAAAGTAATTCACCGCCACAACGCCAGGAGGCTGTGATTTTAAAATGGCATTCATGTAAAACAGGAGTCAGCTACCTTAAATACTCAAACAGCCATTTGGACCATGTCCTATAGAAAATAAAACCACAGAACCACAAAACCCTTTCACCATCATCAGCAGCACCTCCTCTGTCACAAAGAGAACACACATATTCCACGGAGTCGTGTCCTTTAGTCCAACAGAAGCTGAACCACATCTGCACACAAGAAACAAGCTGTTTTTTCAGCAAATGAGCCATGTGGTTTTAAGTTTTGTTTCTGTAAAACATAAACAAATGTGCGCAAAGCTTCATTAAACACATTATTACTCAATGTATATTTGAGACCTCCATGTAGGAAATAAAAAACAAACTTAAATTATCCAACCACATTCACATTCATAATACACATTCACCAAGACAGGGAGGCAACACCGGGCAAATTACGCCAATGGATCATGGATGCCTGGGCTAAGGGATCAGTCTCAAGTGTCGTCCATGTTTTTTGCTTAATTCATCTTATAATCCGATGAACCTTATAGTCCAAAAAATACAGTATCTAGTTTTGATACTAGTTTTAGTGTCTGATTTTCGATATTTTTGACAACCCCAGTGTGAAATAACTGCCTCTATGTTGTTGTAATAGAAAGGAAGCAATATGCCAAGTGGTATTCATACATTTTTTATATCGCCTTTGGTCTTGGTTACACTGTGCACCTTAAGCACGCTTTAGGGCTTTAAAAAATACATTTGTTTTATATAGAAATAAACCTGTCCAAGGATTGCAAAATGGAATACATCTTTGCAACTTATTTGTGGAAATTTACTCAAAGCAATATACTCCAAACTATGAAACAATGTCTTTCATAAAGTGCAGCCGCGGAGACGGACTAGCGGAGCTCCAGGTTTCTCAGCCCTCAGGCTCTGTCATCATACCCAGGGATCAAAGCCTGAAGCTGGGTTAGTCTCCCACCACTCTCCCCTCTCTCCCCCGCGTATGTCTGTCTGTCTGCGTGGATGGAGAGACGGAGGGGATGGAGGGATAGAATAGTCCTTTCATTCATTATTCTGACTGTAGAGAGTATAGACACACAGGTGCTATGGGAGGTGCACCAGCCACTCCAGCTCCACGTCTGTTGAGTTTGTCTGGTTTTGACTCTCAAGCACGGAAACATTTTGGAATAATTTGTGTAAAAATGTGGACATAACTTGGCGGTAATGAAGAATAATAATGTCAGTCTTCCAGGTAGGTCCCATAGCAAGAGGAAATTGAAGTATTTAGAGTGAATAGTTGTCAAAAGTATAAAAAATCTGATACTAATTGATACTAAAACCAGTATAGAAACTAGATACTCATTTGAACAGGTATCAATACTAAAAAAGTCACATTCAGAGGACAGAAATTAACCTTTCCTGAAGCTTTAGAATGATCTTGAGCTGTATCAGAACAAGTATAAGAGCACATAGACAAGTAAACACCCATGGACCACTATGAAACCTACTTGGACCACTGAAGAATTACACAGATATAAAACCACATGGTGACATAAAAGCAATTACAATAAGTTAATGTGAAAATCTCATTGTATTGTGTTTTAAAAAGTGTTTTATTGTCACCATGGTATCAGAATCGGTATTGACTATCAAGCCTGTTCCTCTGAATTGCATTGATTTTAGTATTGTGCAACATTAGTGCATAAATTTCAACACTCATCTAAGTCGCAGTGACTCACCACAGCCTGTCAGAACTGAAGAAGCTACTTGGACAGTGACGAAACATAGTTATATCTTAAAACTTTAGTCCAGCTGACAGTGTTGTAGAAGTTTTCAGCTTGTCCAAGAAACGGTGGAAGCGAAAGGCTGGAGACCAACTGGATGTCTTAAGCAGGAGAGGTTTATTTACCGTCAATAATACTTGAAAAGTCAACATAGTGTGATTTCAAAAGTGAACATAGTGTGATCTTTGAGTGTTCAAGCCCCTTGACTCTGCTTCTGAAGGAGGAGGTTTATAAAGCAAGTGTGGTAAGATTATGAAGGCCAACAGGCACCAGTTAGTCAGAAATATGTCACAATTTAGATAATGGTATGTCAAGGGAAGATCATGGTGTAAATAAAGCTTTTGTGAGTCAATGTTAAACTGAGAGAAGATAAATTACTTAAATTCTCTTACAGTCAGAATGCATTTTTTTTTTTTTTTTTTTGCAATGAATAATATTTACTGTGTCAAAAATGTGATACTAATCGGTATTAAAATGTCAATATATCAAAGTGGTATCAATATCGGTGTTGAGTATCGAGTCTATTCCTTAGTATCTAAATTGAGTTTGAAATTTTTGTATTGTGACAGTAATAGTGCTAAAATGTAAAATGAACTCTCTAAGGCCAGTCAAAAATAATATTTGCTGCCTAATCTTAACCCCAAAACATGCACTGAATAATTCATTGTCAAAGGTATGAGACCCATAGTTGATAAGATAAAGTAGTAACATAAATAAATATAAGAAAATAATAAAATAAGGTTTCAGCAAGCGTTCCATTCCTAGGATCACCACAACAAATCTCCAGCTATTTACGTATTGATATGTGTGTGTAGAGCAGCAAAAACACCCTCAACAGTGTCCTGACAAGTTTCTCAAGCAGCAGTATTAGCATGTTGTCCAACATTCAAATTCTCATCATGTAGTTTTTGTTTGCTCAACTCTCCTCCTACACACCATAGGGGAGCAGGCGATTTACAGTTCCCTCTGAGTCCCATAGGAGGCGCCGCTCCACGTGTGACCCATATGAACTGAGCAGCACATGGCCAACACAGCTGCCCACCACAGCGCCATCTGTCTCCTTTCACCGGGATTATCTCCGCTCACTGTTGACAGAGCTGGGGACAGTTGGAATTAAGAGACTGCACCACCAGCACGAATTCATATGACAAATGAATTATATAAATCTATAGGACAAATACACATAGATATAGATATTTGTGCTAGTAAATAGTACAAATCTGCTGTGTACTGGAGAAATAGTTGTACTTTTTCTTTTCTTTATCAATCAATTTAGTATTATAATGTTGCTCTTGAATACAATATTGGACAATTTACCCTAAATAAGCATCTGTTTAAGTGAAAAACTACTACTAAACTACTTTTATCCAATCAGAGACAAACTTTTTTTTTTTTTTTTTATTAAGTTTCGTCAAAAAGCCTTAGTCAGATCACTCTTCTTGCTTTGGACCACACTGTGAAGTATGAAACTGTTAGGCCTGTCACAATAACAAATTCTGAAGTGTGATACATTGCTGAAATAAATAAAGATGATAATATACCAAACTATGAAGCAGAATTACACCCCCCCCCCAAAAAAAAATTATTTAAATTTACAGTATAAATATTGTTGAGCTGCAATTAATAAACAGCAGATTGCAACACTTACGTATATAATTTTAGTTCATAATTCAGTCTTCTTCAGCTCAAATTTTATACTGCATCATACTGCAAAAAAATAAATAAAAATAAAAAATTCCAACTTCAAAGAAAAGGTACACACGATAAATATTGACCCCTAAAATTATTATTCCATTTGTCGTATATTGAACGATAAGTTGATATAGTATTTATTGTTATTCTGCCTCCACTAGTGTTTAGGAACTAGTGTTACAGATAGTGAACACTTTCTCCAATAAACACTCAGGAAGCTTCTTGCTGTTTTGGACATTTACTGAAGAGTTGATTGTAAAACTGTAACATACAAACAAATAAATGCATATTACAATTATGTTTTCACATTTAAACAAACATATATTAAGTAGAGCGACATAAAACAATGTAGAGCAGCTTAATAATTCAATATATGCATAACAATAACGAATAACAATAGCTGGACTTCATAAAAATGTCTATAAAACAAGCAATTAGCATCATGCTAACATTAATGGAAATTTCCATAGACATGCTAGTGCTATTAGCATGTTATATTTTAGCTGGTAATTTCAAACTATAAAATAACTTAAAGTGCTACACAAGAGTAAATTAACATTACAGTATTTACAGACAGATATTTTCATGGGGCTAAAAGACAGTTTACAGGAATTAAACACTGGCAAGAACAGTTGAAAAGCTAAGGTAACTCAGAGTAGACAAAACAGATAAACTCAAAACAGAAATATTCTCCACTGGGGACAGAACAAAAAACAGTTGTAGGATTAATTAGAAAAACCATTACAACATATAAAGATAAAAACAATATGCCGCGTAAAAGTACTGTTAGCGTCTCTACTTCCTGTCCAGTTGTGTATCTATGGTGTTTTTGCTGACTCATATTAAAATGAACAGAGAATTGTGGGTGGATTTCATTGACAACATGTTGAAAACTACATAATTAAACTGAATACTGCAATGGAGGACACTTCTGGTTTTAGAAAGGTACAAGTTTGTGTCTCAGTGCTAAGAATAATGCTAATTTTGAGTCATAAGTATTAAAAACGACACAATTAAAATGAATACTTCAGTGGAGGACATTTCTGTTTTAGAAAAGTAGAAGTTTGTGTTTCAATGCAAATTCTGAGGCATAATCAGTATTAAAAACTATACAATTAAAATGAATACTTCAGTGGAGGACATTTCTGTTTTAGAAAAGTAGAAGTTTGTGTTTCAATGCAAATTCTGAGGCATAATCAGTATTAAAAACTATACAATTAAAATGAATACTTCAGTGGAGGACATTTCCGTTTTTAGAAAGGCAGAAGTTTGTGTCTCAATGCAAATTTTAAGGCATAGACTGAAGTTTTCTAGACATAAAAACAACGGGGTAGTCTTTACTTTAATCAATTTTAGTAGGTTGTTTATTTTATATTTTCTGATTTTAATAAAAGTGACCGTTATCTTCGAGGCACAGTGAGCGAGCCGGCATGCCAATAAGCCAAATACAGTGTCAAACTTTTCACTGTCGAACTTTTAAGTAGCTCTACTGCTTATTATTTCATTACATGGTTATTTATTCAATACGTCCCATTAAGATGCACATAGCCGGCCTCATGCGCAGTCAGAGGCTTTAATAATCTGGTTCAGCTCAGTGCTCATTGATTACACAGGGAGACCCCCGCTGAGAGCACATCTGTGTATGACTCTGGTCTATCACAAAGTCTGTGTACGCGTTTGTCTCCACATCCAAGGCGTTTAAAGAGACGCGCCGCTTTTCAATGATCTACTTAAAGGAACTATATGTAGCCCTGGCCTCTTAACACTTAAAAAAAAATGGATTACAATTAGGGCTGGGTATCATTAAGACGTTGCCAATACAATACATACATCAATACATAGGCCACGATACAAAACATATCTCGATACAGTGAGCTTTCGATTCAGTACGTATATTTCAAATCAATTCAATACGGTTTCAATAAAAAATAAAGGCTAATTCATGGCTGTGATACTAAAAGTCTTTCTTGTGCAAAGTTAATATGAAACACAAACCTTTTAATCCTCAAAACAGTGAAAATGTCAAATATTTTACATAAACAAGTTTCCTTCCTCTAAACAAGCAACAAAGCTTTAGCACTGCAACAAAATAATTTAGTAAATAATACCAAAAAATACTCTTAGTGATGTATTGATACAGCAGCCCACAATATCGATACTGTACCATAAGATTAAACAATCGATATTTCAATATCATTGCACACCCCTAATTACAGTCACAACTGAATTTGGTTTGGTGCGTCGTGTCCAATGTTTTTGTAATCAAGAATAAATCAGTATTACAGTATTTATCAGTAAAAGCTATTTGATTTGAAGAAGTAAACGGTAAATGGAGCGCTCGCTGGATCACCGCTGAAGTAAAATAATAAGAGATCAGGTGCTCTTTGGAGATCCCAAGTGGGCAAATGACTTACTGGATGAAAAAAAAGGAGATTGATTTGAGTTGATGGTGATGCTAAGGACTAAATACCTTTGTAAAACGAGAGAAGAGAATGTCATTTTCAACATTAAATCATTAAATCATGGTACTTTCTTTTATATTACGATGTGGTCGTCCTGGTCTTTGTGCTCTTATACTTATTATGATACAACTCAAGATCATTCTAACGCTTCATTTCTGTTCTGTGAATGTGACTTTTTTAGTACCGATATTTGTTCAAATTGTTTTAGTAACTTTCTTTGTATTTCTCGATAGTTATTCTGCTAAAAAAGGCTCATATTACGCTATTTTCCGATCTAGTATAATGTTCTTTCCTCAGCAAAAACATACCTGGATTTGTGTTTTGTTTCTTTTTACACATGTTTAACCCTGTAAATTTAGAAAACACTCTGGTCCACCTTGTGATGTCACACGTTAATACAGGAAGCGCTCCATTATGTTTTTAAACTCCAAGCACCTTCACTAAAATCATTCGTATAATTTCTGGCCTGGAATTGCCAATTTCTACTGAACAAAACGTAAAAGTTAGCTGTTAATTTTAAAACTACCTCTGTGTGACATTGCAAGGTGAAACAAATACAACTGCAGGTCTGTTTTTGAGGAGGTAACAACATTCTAACATGACTTAAAGGTTGTATGGAGGATTTATTTATTTTTAGTTTCAAATTGTCAGTGAAAGTTTAAAATACCATCACAGAGACGCAGCAGCCTTGTAATTATGATGACCAAAAAAAAAAAAGAATGAAAATCTATCAACTGTGGACGTGTTGAGGCCAGATAAACATCAGCCAATAGAAAACGAGGCTACCTCATTTTCTATTGGCTGTTAGATCGTCAATCAAACTCCCTACATTTCTAGTGTGACTGACTCGCCAGCGCACGGGGATTATGCGGTTTATGCAGCGGTTCTTAGGTGCTTTTTTAAACTGTCGCTTCCTCGTAGTTCGCACAAAGTTTGTCGTGACGGCGGACGAGAATCCACGACCAGTTCGCTGCAAAAGAAAGTCAGTTTTTGAGGTCGCTGAAAGAAGGAGAGAAGGGGA